GCTTCATTATGCATATGTAAGCAGAGCACAGCTCCACATTAACATGTTTTCACCTAGCCGCTTCACTGCGACCCACTTTTACATGTTTGTTTGGAAGCCATTTTTAGCCCTCCATCTCTGTGTTTCTCTCTCTCGCTCTCTCTCTCTCGCTCTCTCTCTCTCTCTCTCTCTCTCCCTCCCTGTATCCCTCTCTCATTCTCTCGCTCTCTCTCATTCTCTCGCTCTCTCTCATTCTCCCTTTTGCTCACTATCACACCATATGCATGTACAGTGTGCCAGTGGTCAGAGATGATGATAGAAACTGACAAAGACTGTGTGTATGTTTGCATGTGTGTGTGTCTATCAGAGAGAGAGAGTGAGAGAGAGAGTGTGTGTATTTCAGGCAGTGGTCCAGAGAAAGTCCCAGCTGTGTCCAAGCCCAGGGTCACTCTGCCTCTTTATAGCCTATATAAACCTTCTCTTCTCTTCTCTTCTCTTCTCTTCTCTTCTCTTCTCTTCTCTTCCCTTCCCTTCCCTTCCCTTCCCTTCGAATATCATTATATATACTACTCCACAGCCTAATTACTGACTGTTTGCAAAATAATGACCGACAGGCCTATAAGCCACAACCATCTCTAAATGCTACTTTCTCCATTAAGCATAGGAAAAACTCTTCCAAAACTCCTCTGTATGCTTACTTTTTTGAGTGCTAGCGCTGGTGCTATAAGGCTAAAGAGTTCAGCAGCACAAAGGGAAATTCTGTAGCACACATAGGAGTCTATTTAAAAACATGTTTTATTATTCAAACACACATTGCCTTTAAATTGCCTTTTTTGGTTCATAAATATGTATGTGAGCATTTAGAAGTTACTAAGATATTTCATCAAAACCAACAGCAGTGTGTCACCTGCTGCCTGACACTACCGACAGAACATAACCCTGTTGGCTTGGTCATAAAAAAGCCAAGGGGAATCGTTTGCCCCTTAAATCAGTGGATTTTTATGTCAGCTCTGCTAGCATTTGAGCTAAAGTTGCGAAATACAGGGGGTCCTGTAAAATTCTGAGGAGCCCCTGAAAATAAACGTATGCTATGCTGTCCATAAGGGAAAACTAGACGCTTAAATACAAATTCAGGTCACTGTTTACCTGCTTCACCTGCAAAACAGTGAGCTTCTGTCTTTGATAGTCTTAACTAACTAGAGATGTAGCACTGGTCTCCCTCAGGGTGGCGCAATTGCAAATTGGTTCACTCACTTGGTCCTTCATAGCCTAGCAACTGTAACTATGTCTGGGACAGATTTGAAAACTTTACAATAAGCCGTAGCATATTTATAAATCTGGAAACATGCCCAGTTTCCCAAAAGTTTGGTGGAAAGAGTGAACTGTAACTCAATTCTCAAACCAAGGACAAAAGAGAAGATGTGTAAGATCTCCATCAATGTGTGGAAGAGTGCATTGCCCAACTAGAAAGAGCATTCCCAAAAGAATTGTTAAACTAAACATTTGGTGCCATTGAAGCATCAGCACCACTATGACGAGTCAGTTAGCAGCCAGCCAACGCTGGAGTAGCCAGCCAACATGGGACCCTCTGAACACCAGGGTGTATTTCTCACATTGGCTAAAACTGGCCATAACCTGTGAAATATTAGATACTAATGGTGACTCGTCCTCTAAACGGGGTCATTTATCTTCGGTGGATGATGTGCAAGATGTTGCATTGTTGGGGTAACATTTAAAACTAAATGAAATATCTTTTCATTGTTTCGTATTCTGTTTAACTTGACTTTTCAGCATTAGCTTACAGTATTTATCTTTGCACAGAACATATTTTTAATGCAATCATGTACAGTACTGTACACTGTACAGCACTGTCACAGCAAACCTGCAGTGAGAACAGCGGTAGTAAATTCATCTGAATTATTAGACTAAGAGATGGTCATCAGGTGATCAGTTAGCTCTACTGTTAGCTCGCCTGAAGGGATAGCCCCTGTCCCTTCACCCTCCTCCTTCTTAGCGATGACAGCCTACTGCTATCAGTTGCTAAAAGACATCGTTGCCAAAATTCCTTTTTGTTGGCCTACATATATTGTCAGTTCTTCTATGTATCTATGTCTCCACTGAGCAGCTCGTAAAGCCACTTTTCATTATTGAAATGTTTCTAATGTGTTCTTCATAGCCTGTTAGCCCAAGGGCTCCAGATGTCCCCAGGTGCTCATGTTCCCTCTCTTTTAAGACTTCTCAGAATTTTGCCAATTGCTTTTAAAGAGTTAAAACTTATGTAATCATTCTAATGCTGATCATCATCAGTACCTTCACCATTTCTCATAGTCAGTAATGTCTGGAGGTCATACATATCATACTACATCATCTAAAGGAGAAATGCTGATGAATCACCCCTCTTCCTTCCCTCCATTCTTGCAAACGCTGCAGCACCGTATCAATATCAAATCCTGATTCTGCCTTGCTTGCTTTCCTAATTCTAACACCGGTCAGATTCATGTGGGCTCTGCACCTTTGTTACCTGTTGGTAAGGTACGCAGCTGCCGGTGCAGTTCAGTCCTCTTGGGTCTCCGGCCCAGTCCCGAGCGCACGTCAGGTCAGTTTTACATGCTTCGTACCTGACACAGGCAGAGGACAGAGGGTCTGTCATTTCCAGAACCTTCTAATAGGAAACAGTTTAGTGTTTCCTCGCTCTAACAAAGGCTTAGCTAAATTAGCTGATGAGTTGAGTAAATGTCAGCGTCAATGTTGTACTGATTAAGGGCCTCACCAGTCTCTGCAGAAGCTGTGGCACAGTGGCACTGCCTTCAGGAATGAGTCTCGCTGGGGGTGTGGCCAGTGAGCAGCATGGGGAGAGCAGCGATAGAAGCAGACCACCCTCTTCAGGAAGGCCTCACAGCTACAGAGGAAGATAGAGAGACAGAGGGAGAGAGTGGTAGAGTTGAGTCGTCTAATGCCTGATGGCGTAAATGAAGATAAACCTATTTCATACTTACTAATCTGCTCTGTAATTTCTGAAAATAACATATATGGTAAAAACAGACCCTTAAACACAGCAAGGAGCATTTTACTAAAATAAAGGATCAAGTCGTCACATACAACACATGCAAGTGTGGCTTAGCTTTCCACAGAAGCACAGTGTCACCTCTGAGCATTGAAAAGTACACATGCTGGTGTGGATTCTGAAGCAGCATAACAGTGACCATTTGCATATTTAAATGTAATTTTTTGCAAAATTTTAAATACAAAAAATGCTTGCAAAAATATCAGCAATCAACTGGCAACGATTAAATGTGATATCTGTTAGTTTTAATTTTTTTTCCTATTAACTGTAGTGTCTCATCTTATATACTACTAATCAATTATGTACATTATTATGTACGTTATCAAGCTTATGCATGTGTTATAAAGTCCCTATGTAGTTAGCCTTCAAATGAAGTGTTACCTGCATTCCCGACATGAAGACTCAAATGTCACTTATTTCAACAAATGTGTGGCGCTTTACTTACTTACATAAAGGTGTACAAATATCATTTTATTTACACTGATTTCTAATAGGCAGGAACAATTTTGTGAGAAAAGTCACTCCAGGCCTTCTGGAAGTCTGCATAAGATAATGAGTGCATTTACATGCACCTAATAATCTGATAACTGCAGAAAATCAGATTTTGTCAGTAATTCGTTTAACGCGATTACCTGCACTTTGGGAATTATCTAGCCGGAAAACTCTGGGTCTACATGCGTCAGGCAATAATCAGATTTCTGCTTTGCAAATAGCCAATAAACGCACAGAGGAAGACGTGATGTAAACGTAATGTAAACTAAAACGTAATGCCACAGCGCCCTCCTAGCACTGGTGGTATTATGTGATTGGGAGACAAAAAATGCCCCGCCCCACCCCCCCCCAAAAAAAACAGCCAAAAAAAAAACTGTATAATAATAAGCCAATGGTTTTACATCATACTTTAACAATAAACATTTGTAAAATAAGTACAGGTTTTAGAGCTTTTAGAGAGTATAGTATAATCTTTAGATTAACTTGTCACTTTTGTTTAAATGACTATGTTACGTGAATGTAGCTGGAATCAGAATGTAATTACTGAATATAATGCAATCTTATGATTCAGTTATTAATCTTAAAACTATATTTGTTTAATGTCTATGGAAATTATCAGATAAGTATCAGATGTGTGAATAAAATCAGATTCAATAAAAATCACGTGCTTGAAGCATCCAGTGGTAAGATTCTGATCCGTCTTGTGCGGCCTATTGCAGGGGTGGAGATCTTTAATTCCAGCCCTAATCAAACTGCACCTGCAGGCCAGACTGTGTCAGTCAGTTACCTCCTGCCTTACAGACCAACCAGATACATCTGTTTTCTTTCTTGACTCTGCTGCGCTGTCCAAGCTAATGCTAGTTTAAAAGAACAGAACCAGAAAGGCTGTGACTTACACAGGACTGAGTGTGCCACACCTGTCCCACGGGGCACTGTCAACACCAGCAGGGGGCGCAGTGAGGTCATCAATGTCCTGCTCTGAGCAGCAAGCATCTGAGAGAGAGAGAGATGGATGAAATGAGCAGGTAATGAGGATAAAAGGTGTGTTATCACTGTCATCACTTTTTAAAAAAGGTTTCTAAAAAGGTTCTTTAGTAAAGACAGTGGCTCTATATAGAACCATGAACACTGAAAGAGCAATGTGCATGCTCAAATGGTTCTTTGCATTGTGAAATGGTTCTTTAGATTGATGGAGAATGTGCTGTAGATTCTTCTATATAGATCCCTTCTGCAAAGGGTTCTATATAGCACCGAAAAGGGTATTTCTATCGTTCCCACCTTCTTTGGTGCTATAAAGAACCAGATACACATTGTCCACCAATCTGAAGAACCATTTCACAATGCAACGACATGAGAATGATTCATTGAGTGTTAAGGGTTCTATATAGAACGATTGTCTTACTAAAGAAATTTTGAAAAAGAAAACCAGAGAAAAGTTCTAAAATCAATATCATGAATATCATGAAGTATTCATTAAATGTAAATGGTGTTAAAAAATGTTTAAAAAGACTAAGATTTCAATATTACAGAAATAATTTATTTTAATCACTCTAAACCCAGATAATCACACAGGTCATGCTCTTATGAGTTTGTCTTAGCAGATCATTTCTTGGGTTTCTTGAGTTTTGGCTGTCAGTGGGCTGGAAATTCATGCACACAGTAAAGGTTGATGAGGACTACAGTGTCTTTTGGTACAGTGCTTCTAAACTGCAGCCCCTATTGGGCCATGATGGTACTGCTATGGAGTGGTCAGCCTTCATTTTTAAACCTTAATTTCTCTACAATATTTGCATAATTAACAAAATGTAATTAAATGTGACTAATATTATATTATTATGATTATTATGTTATATTATTTGCAAAATAATTATATTGAAGTATGATTAGTCTGGCAAAATGCTACTAGTTACATTTATATTTTCAGTATAAATGAATGTAAAACATGCTCTTTTTTCTTTTTTTTTGAGTGGAATTCATCCTTCATTGATAAATGGTTTCAACAGAAAAAATCCCGAGGCCGGGCCATCTGCTATGAGTAACACAGCCACTGTGTCTCAGACTGAAAAAACAGAGGAGAATGCAGCAGTGAGTAATTAGCACTAGGCTTCACATGCACAGGAACTGAAAACAAGCCACTATGGCTCTGTGTTGTAGACTGTGTTGTACGAGATCTTGTGAAATGAAGCCTTGAAGCTGAACTGTTTATGCTGTCACTTAGCGACTATGCATTGTGATCATGCACCTAAACCTGTCAAATGGAGCCAGAACTTCTTCCTCCTTTCAGTCTGACATTCAGCACTTCGTAGCTGCCAAACAACATCAGCTATCTCATAACGTGAGTCAGAAAAAACAATAGAGATGTTGTGTGCCGGGAGGTCTGTTGTGTGGACTGCAAGTTCCAAAAGGTTAGGTTGTTTTTCGACAGCGCAAAATACTGGAACCCACCAGAAGCCTGAAACTGGTTTTGAGTACCTACTCAAGATTGGTACCAACCTAATGGTATTCAAGATGTGTTCTCCTCTGTCTTTGTTAATGCTAATGACAAATTAGCAAATCTCTTACTCTTTCAGGTGAAGATGTCCGCAAGCAATATTACCACACCACAGTATGTTATGTTGATGTGTTGATTGCTTTTTTTTAGAATTATTACTTCATAAAGAGTTTGCTAAGCTGACATAAACTATTTAGAAAGTGAATGCTAATGCTATTAGCCTTTATGCTAGCCTCCATAGAATGAGTGTTTTACTAGATATATTATAAATGGGAAAGCTTGTAAAGCTCAACATGTGTCTGTTTACAGAGAAAACTTCAGGAAAAAAGAACCAATCAGCTTGCTAGTTACACTGTGAGCCATAACAACCCAAAAAAACTTTTTTGTACATTATTGAGCCAAACACTACAAACTATTTGAGGTTTGTAGTTTAGGTGTCTCCCCATTCATAGAGACAGGAGCCTGGTCTTGTATGGCTGGAAATACCTGCTCAGTGGTGTTGCAAAGATGGCCACCGATTGAACAGACTTTCCCACAAGGACTTTGGTTTTGCCAGAGATGTTATAAATAAGTTTTACTAATGTTTTCCACACTTGACAGAGAAAAACTATAAGTTTTGCTTGATTTTTACACAATTGTGCAATTTTTGACCAACTGTAGACATTTCATGGGCTTAGAATAATGATCTGTCTGACTTTTTTTGTTGACTGTTCAAGGACAATTTACCACTTACAGCATAAGTTGTTGTTATAAAATTCTATCTGCAGTCCAAGTGCAGTTGATGAATGTAGCATAACTGATCAAAATTCATGTTTTACCCATGTGCTAAAGCTCAGCAATTAGCTGTTTACAGCCTACTTAAGTGAGCAGTTATTTAGCTTGATAGCCAGCTAGCTAAATGATTATCTCTGCAAAATAGAGAACTAACTGACTAAAAGCTCAAGCATCAGTCATTAATCAGCCGATAAGGACATGTTTGGAGATTAAATACTAAAATTAGCTAATTTTCCTTACATAGCTGATGTTAATTAGCCAGCTAGCTAATATCTAGCTTAACTAATTACCTAATCTGCAAAGCAGGAAGCTAGCTAACCTTACCAGAGTAGCCAGATATATTAGCTAGCTACAATAATGTCATTGATATACATTTTACACATCATGAATTGTTATTATTTATGATTACACATCATTACACATCATTTCAGAACTAATGAGGATAACAGCAGTGACAGTGAAGCAGAGGCACAAACAGCACACACACACACACACACACACACACACACACAGACACACACACATAAAATAACCAAAAAGACAATTAAACCCTTAATTAATGTTACTATGACAGTTCTAGCTGTCTCTCAACAAGGACTTGGCACTCAAGCAGGTGGAAATGTACTAGATACTAGAACTGTATGTTCCATTTCATTTTCTGTTTGGGTCAGTTCTTGTTTTTGAATGAGCAGTGGAAAAATGCCCACACACTAATAGAGAAGTCACCAAACAGTGCCGTTTTAATTTTAAGGATAAGAAATAAATAATGTGTTTTTGCTTGTGGGATAAACATATTTAGCTATTCTTTATTTTTGCTTCGGGCCAAATTTTCAAGGCTATGTTTTACTCCAGGTGGGTTTAAACTGGGATACGTATTCAGTGCAGCATTCTTATTTTCTGTGGGTCTATCTGCCAGCCTTGAATAGAAAATCAATACTGACCAGCAGTTCAGAACATTATGTTCCAGTTTCTGTGCAAGATTTGAATAAAGCATATCTATAAGAAAATGTACTCACTCTCCATGTACATTGAGCATTCTTTCAGATAGGGCTCTGGACTGGGCGTGGCTTTGTGTCTCCCGTCCTGCAGACATGCCCCCTCTTGACACCAGACTAATGTGGCGAGGAAAGTGGCAACATAGGCGAGGCCGAGCAGCAGTCTGGGAATTGTCATTTCTCCAGGAGGTCAAGCAAGAGGTCAAGATGGAGTGATGCGTTCAGCACCTCGGACAGCACTGAAGGAAGTAACAATGGTAATTGGCGCATGAGCAGATTTGAAGATGTAGAGTCCAGTTCTGGAGTTCTGGTTTGGGAGGGCTTTAGTCCAGCATGGTTTCCTGCTCTAACACACCTGATTCAACTCATTAGCTAAGAGCAGGGAAATCAACAAACTGTGCTTGACCAAAGCCCCCCAGGACCAGAGTCGGGATAATCTAGTTAAAGTTCAGCGAAATGTCAAATTTACTCAATTTTCCTTTCTCCTCAGAGCAGCCAAGACATGTTAGGTATTCATATTTTGCTTGTTAAGCTTAGCGCTAGAGCTATGAGGCTAACATTGCTAACAAAAACCAGAAGTCAATAGTCACTTAAATGTTTTTCATAAAAAACACTCAAACCACATCCAGGTTTCATGAAGGCTGTGCAGACTTGTTGATGTGGTTTAGGACTCTATACTATAAAAATGAACTATAAAAATGAACTAAACTTCACCGTGTTGCTGAACAATGGAGGCAGCCATTTTAGACAATAGGTGTTGTGCTGAATTCTGCCTTCCCTGCAGAATCTGGCTCCCTTTCTCTTCCACGCATGTCAAGTGGAATTATAAAGGCCAGATTCTGTTTGTGATTTCTGTTGTTTTTATTTATAAGCCTGTATCTTCAGTTCAACAACAGAAACCTGAACAAAATCTGTAGCATGCATGACACGCTAACACTCACACCCACAGTAAGAGTGCAACACCTGTCTTCACACCCTGGATATAGGCAAGTTGAGAGATGTTTTGGGGCTGTATTTATAGAAAACATTTGGGTGACTACTGACTTCTAGAATTGAGTTCATAAAGCAAATAATAATTTAAATTTTCATATTTTGGAAAAATACATTAATAAATAGGTGTGAGCTGTATTTATATTTGTTAGGGTAACAACTTTTCGAGTATTAAGCACATGCTTGTAGGTCAAAATGTCTGTCAGACATTCAAGCAGGTGTGTCCAAACTTTTGACTGGCAGTGTATTTCACACCCAATATGTAAAAAATGAAATGCATGTAAAAAACAATCATTCATCGTCATAATACACTACAAAAAAATTGTATCTTGTCAGGTAAAATGATCTTAAATGTAGTCAATAAATATATTTCTCCTGTTTAGATTGTTATAAGCTTAATTTAAGATTCTTTAGCTTATCACTAGAATTTTTTATCTGTTTTAAGTCATTTTATTAAGTAAATTTATCTCATTTTATTGGCAGATAATTTTCATTGTTTTAAGAAATGTGCTTAAAACCAGCAAAATTATCTGCCAGTATAGTGAGAACATTTTCCTCGACAAAATGACCTAAAACAAGTAAAAATGCCTACAAATAAACTAGATAATCTTATAATAAGTGCACAGCCATCTCAAAATGGGAAATATTAGATATCGCTGTTGTTTGAAGAAAACCTTATATCTCCAAAATGGTAATTTTACAGGAGAAGGAAAAAACCTACTTTACTTTTAATGTAAATCAATGGAACCAGACTTTTTTCCAAGTCATTTTGGGTCATTTCTTTTGGTCCATTCTTCATGAAATTTACACACAATGTAAAGGCCAACAGGTATTTTCAAATTATGTCAAAACTGAAAAATGACAAAAATGGAGATACAAGGTTTTCTTCCAACAGCAGCGACGTATTGACTAGATTTAAGATCATTTCACTTGACACAACACCATTTTTTGCAGTGCATGATCACTGCACAGCCTGGATTACTTGGTTTTTGTTCCAGTCTGGCCTGCTGTTTGGTTTCAAAAGCAATTTATGACAAATACACAGTGTGTAAACTCTCAGCTAAGGCTGAGCAGTGTTTCATTTCTTGAACGTTATTGCAAAATCCTTCTCTGCAGCTCTGATATCTGAGGAAATCAGCTCTTCAACAAAAAGCAATTATGGCAGAATAATGCAGGTCAGTTGTAACTGTCACACTAAGAGCTGAGCAGTATTTTTTCATGTTCTAGAAAGTATAACACAGTCTCAATATGTAACAATATTTGATCACAATACAATTTTTACTAATATTATTCAGCCCTCTTTACAGTCTGTGTAAAAACTATACATTCAACCCAGCTGATTAAAGTACGAGTGAACAAGTTATGCTTGTTACAGTGAAAGAAAAGCATGTATGCTGTAATATTAATTCAACACCACTCAGTAAACCACCACTAAACCACTCATAGGTCAACAACAGAAGCAGATCCCACACTAACACAGTGCTGTGACATTTCATTCATAATCTCTGTCCTGTGTGTGTAAAGTCCCCAGACAGTCCTAAAGCTCTGTGATGTTCCCTTCAAGAGACCAGAAAAACAACAGATCCTCATAAGAGGATAACACATACGCACACTCACACACACACACCAAAGCAACATCAACAGCAGAAGCCTATGTGTGTTTACTGGCTCAGTGCTGTTTACTCTCTGTTTACTGACCACAACAACTCTACTTCTCCTGCATAAAAAGTGCAGGCAAACGAAGGTTTATGTAAAAGTGCGACCTACCCGATTCCTGCTGCTGGTGATAGACTCCACACACACGCACACGCTCATACACTTCCGTTTCAGCAGCTTCAGTGTCTCTCCTCCTCTTCTCTCTGATTTCTGCTCTCTCTCTCTCTCTCTCTCTCCTCAGGGTCGCTGTCAGTAACGATCAGCCCTCTGGTTTCTCTCAGTGGCTTTAGCAAAGGACGATAACACCCCCTCCCCATTCACCCTCACATTCACACGCACACACACACTCACACTCTCTCTCTGTCTCACACACATGCAACTGTTTTTATACCTTGCCAGGGCGTGCGGTCAAACATATGTCCCGTCCAATATGTACATATATATATATATATATATATATATATAAATATATATATATATATATATATATATATATTTATATATATATATATATGATATGGGGTGTGTGCAAAAGTTATGGCACCTTTTAAATTGTATGTTTTATGTTTTCTAACATTTTAAACCCTAATAAATACTAATTTGCATATGTAAGAAAATTGCAAATTTAAATTGGTTTTGGTTTCACTTAGAAAATCAACTATATATGTAATTTGCTTGTGTTCAAACGTTTGCATTGACTGTAAATACTTATATGTAATAATAATATGTATTGTATCATGATACTGATAAAATATCATCATATTGCCTACCCCTCTAGATTGTATTACTCTAAAGCTAAACCTAATCTTAACGTGAGTAACTAAAAAGTAATGATTTAGTTTTTTTTGGTTATTAAATAAAACATAGAACTTTTGTTAAACATTACAAAGTCAGGCTCATTTAGTTTATCATGTAGGCCCTGTGTTTAACTGACCAGGACGTTTCCCATTTGTCATAAAAATGCACAAAAACAACCACACAAACCACACACACACCCTCAGACTCATGTGTGTTCCTGTCTTTATTCTGTATTCTGTGTCCTACTGTGTGAATGTGTCATTTTGTCCTCATTAAGAGCTAAATACAGACACACAGATTAGTTTTTATTATGAGTATATAACTGTAAGCTTATGTAATTTCTGAAGACATGTAAATGGACAAACCGCACAGGGCCACCTGCACACTATGATGGGCCTGCTGATGACCAGTTTGCCCCTGTGTCCAGATGAGTGCCCAGTACACGCTGAGTCACCTGCATCCCGTCCTCTCGGATGCTGCAGGGAACATCAGGATGCATCAGGATTCAGAACTTTGCCCTGTTCACAACACTGAATACAAATCTTTTAACCTCTTAATCTTAAGACTCACTATTGTAGACCTCTGAAAGCATGACATCATTCCGGAGCTGTCGTCATATCCATGTAAGGAACTCCAGGCTTAGGCAAATTTCTGTATGGAAAAAATAATGGCATTTTAGAAAATTGTGTCTATTGTGCCCTGTTTTAAACGAAAATGCTCCAAACCTGATATACCCCACTAATATCACTGGATCCTCTGAATAATGAGGTTAAGGAGTTGAAATAGTGTTTCTACATGCAAGCTAACATTGCTGTATCGCACTGACATCATAAGACTGGTTACCTCACTAAAATACCCCACACAAACTATCGAGCTTGTCTAATGTGGTAGATTAGTGGCTTTGGCGGTAGTAGCCCACAGTTTGAGTAACTGATGTTAGTATATAATGTTGAAGTTTAATAGTGTGCAGTTTCATTTTGAAGTCCAGGAGTGTTAGTCTGCTTGTAACTCTTATGTAACATTATTCATATTTTGAATGATAAAGCAATTTTGGAAAATGTCATTCTTTTTTTCACATATGCGAAACCAGTTTAGACCAAAACGAATCAGGTTGGAAATGACAATGATATTTTTCCACCATGCTAATATTTGAAGAAGTATATGCTACAAAAACTACATCTGATCTATCATAACAGAATGAACTTTCAAAATAAATAGTATTTGAAATTAATAATTCACTCTAAACTGTAAAAGAAAAGGTTTTGACATAAATCTAGGCCTTTGCTAAGGGATCCCAAGTTTTGTTCCCAGGCTGTTGGTATGTTATCCAAGGTGGTATGCCAGGAGGTTGCTAATGTGTCAACAAGCCATTGTTTTGGCATCCAAGGTGGTTGCTGAGGTGTTACTAGGCTGTTGCTCTGGTGTCCCAGGTGGTTGCTAAGGTGTTGCCAGGGCATTGCTATGTTATTCCAGGTGGTTGCTGAGGTGTTGCTAGGCTGTTGCTATGGTATCCCAGGTGGTTGCTGAGGTGTTGCTAGGCGATTGCTATGTTATCCCAGGTGGTTGCTAAAATGTGTGTGTGTGTGTGTGTGTGTGTATGTGTGTGTGTATATATATTTAAAAAATCATGTTTAAACAAACGCTGTATGAAAAACGCTGTATGTAATTTGTCAGAACATAACACAACTTTTCAAGTTAACTTACTATTAGAACTCCAGTGCTTTTTAAACAGCCAGACTACTTACAACAAAGTTAAAACAAATAGTTTTACTATGCAAGTTTCTTTTTTGTAAAGAGACCAATGGTGTGCTACTGTTTTTCCTGAGGTTGAATGGGATTTACAACTTTTAATGTGTAAAGCTAAGCTTATCTAACCTTCTGGGAGTCCAGAATCCCCAAACCTGCCTAGTTTTGATTAGCTACAACAACCTAATCCAGCTTGGTAACATAGCTTTTGAACTGAAAACAATTTTTAGCAAATCTAAACTTCAAACAAAAATTCATTAGGTTTAATGAAATTTTTACCAGCATTCTGTAAAACTTGTCCCACCTAACAGCAGCTGTTAGGAAAGAACAAATTTGTGGGTGGTGCATAGATAGATCAATTATTCAGTAACTACTATGAATCTTATATGTAATGAATCTAATATGAAAGTTGCATAGTTAGAAGCAGGAATTGAAGTGTGACCCCCAAACAGGCCTTTGGGGCTTGATTAATATGCCATGACAGACCCTAAGCTAAAAGAAATGAAAAAGAACTAATTTTGTTTTGCCTAGGCCTGTTCAGACTTAAAAGTGGTGTCTTCTGAAGAGGGGGAGATTTTCTTTTGGCAGGGGGTTTGTATGTTGTTTTTCAGCCTGTTTTTTTTCCCAGGCAATTCGTCTTGGAGAGCTTGGGCTCTAATCTGACCGCCTAAACACCCGTCTTGAGGCGTAATCCTGCCCGCCGTGCACCGCATTAAGACGGTTTTGGGAGCAGACAGAGAGCGACCTACATACAAGGTTAGTGACGGCTTTAGAGAAAAGAGCGTCTGAAACATATGAGCCTTTCCAAACAGTCTTTCCAACTGTTATTAACCCTAAGAAGCCTAAAGTTATTTCTGTTGTTCTGCTATACTATTTAAATGTGATTGTGTAGCATTATGTTTCATTAACCCATGTTCAAGTCAATTGACTCTGTAATTCTGACTCATTTTAATTTACTTTATGTTAAGACATTACAAAAATAGGACAAAAATAAAGGATGTTTTTTCTTGTTGCAAAACAAAGACTGCACACAATAACTTTTCATCAGATTCAAATGATAATGAAACATGTTGTCTTCTACTTACAAAGAAGATTGATTTCTTAACAGAGGGGTTTTATACTAAAAATGTCATAATTCATTTTTGAACCTCCAGAATTAAAAGGGAGTTGCACTGATTATTCAAAATGATAAATATGCAGAAATGAATAATGCAATACTGAATGAATTATGCATAAATAATTTGTTAAAATGCAACCAAAGTGCTTTGATGTGAAATACTCCATTCTAGAGAAACTTGTTCACAGTGGGGGCAATAGGAACCAGACATCTGAAGAGTTTAATACCTCTAAAAACTATTAGACAGCTTTAAATGAAATCAAAATACATTGCATAATGTCTGACACATTGTTTTATGATAGTTTTGAGGTCAGGTTTTGTCCTAAAATGTGTATTTTTTTATAATACCTTGAAGGCAGAGAGGTACATGCAGGGTGTTATAAAGCAAAATAGTCCCCCAATTAAACTTTTTTTTTCACCTTTACCACTATATAACCATCAACACTGCATATAAAAACTCAGAGGACGCATGTGGGTTCACTGGTCATTTTGGATAGTAAATAAATTGGCTACATTTGTACTGTAGACATTGTGACCCATGGTTCCTATCACCACCACTGTAAAGAACCACATCTCACACCAAACCACTCTGATTGACTTTGTTTACACCTTAACAAGTTACATGAGAAATGATCTCTGTTCTGAATGGCTGCCCTATATTATGCATTAACCATAAAGCAACGCTCCCTATCAATTGAATGGGTGAACTACACTGCTGTAAGCTGAATGGGCAGTCATATGTACATATGTTCATGACTGTGACATCACAACCATGATGAATTCACTAATCAATCAGCAGCTTATAACATTTCAAAACTTTGTTCGGAACCAGTCTTTAGGGGTCGTGTTAAAGGAGTTTTGTCTCACTGAGCTGAGGCCAAATTATGCAGTCTGGTTGGTTTCGTAAGAGGGATTGCACTGACCCAGAGGCACCCAGCACTCTATTGGGGCGTTTTATTTTCGGGGTGAGCAGAACAGAGGGAGGCAGACGGAAAACATTATGCTTTGGTCATTTGATTGGGAACAATGAGATGCTTTGTGCCGGAGCTATTCGGGGAGAGATGAGATGAATTTGGAGAGAGGGACAAAGGCTGGTTGCCGCTGCCACTGAATGTGCCCTTGTTTCTATTTACCGTGAAGTAACCAGAATTGTTATTAGCCAGCACTGGCAAATGACGAGAACTAATTGGTTTCCACCATTTGGAAGACTGTGCTCTCAGATCTAGACCACTTACCCATTTACTGGACTTTTGTCTGTTAACAATGAAGAGAAAAAGAAGGCCAAGGCTCTCCTCACATGGCCCCTGACCCTGCCAGAAGCTTAATGCCACCCAAAATGTTCCTTCAAGGGGCTGTGTACTATATTCTTCTTTATTTTTGTTATTTTCATGGTTCACTTTTAGCATAGAAAAGTCATAATTCATTTTTTGTAAGACCATTTTTCCACCTATCTTTATTTACAACTAATGTTGTTGTTCCCTTTAAAGGGCACATATCCCCATTTTTGTTGTGTTTTATTTTTTCCTCCCCAAGATCCACATCACATTTGTGTGGGTTTATCCACCAAAAACAGTAGTGATTCATTTTTAAGTGATCATGTTCAACATTGTTTAATGCTTTAGAATTAGGCAGGCTGTTACTGTGACTGTGCCTTTTAG